AAACGCATTGACTTACACACATGCATCGAGTGACACACATGTATAGACTTACACACACATATGGACTAACACACAAACATATGGACTGACACACACATACACATCGACGTACACACACACAGATCGACTGACACACACACATGGACTAACACACACACATAAACACTTTGACGTACACACACACATGGGGCGTTGTCCGTTCGAAAAAGACAGACACCCACATGGACTCAAAGACACACACATGGACTCACACACACACATCGACGGGCACAGCAATCCCCGATGATGGCACAGCTATCAGTATCGCAGTATTACGTATGAGTAAAGAGCGTGACGTGAGTGATGGAAACAATATAAATGCATTGAAGAAATAAGCTGAAATCACAGACTGGCAGTAGACCGTGGCAGCGTCATAAAAGCGCAGCAAAAAATGGGGAAATTGAGCAACCCAAAAATCCAAAAAGAGTTTTGTGTACACAAACATAATTATTGTAAAACTTTTTTGGACTCATGGACTCACACACACACGCTGTCGCCTCGACAGACCTGGTTTTCAACTGAGGACGGCTGCTTGCGTTGTGGCCGAAACGTCGTGAGAATTATTTTATTAGGTTTTATTTTTCATTATTATTTTATTACTTCCCTTCTACGTGACTTTACCGAAAGAACCAAGAAGATTATTGTAACATGTCAACTTGTTTCATAATGGTAAACAATGAACCTGAGTTGTTATCTTCACACAAACATAATTATTGTAACATCTGTGAACTTGTTTCATAATGGTAAGCAATGAAGCGTATTTTTTATCAGCACACAAACATTATTATAGTAATGTTTGTGAACTAATGTGTTTAACAATAGTAAACAATGGACTTGAGTTGTTAGCGTAAGAAGCAAGACACTTTGTATTTACCATAGGTGTGTTGAGGCCTTGTGCCATGCGTAGCCCCCGTCCTGGCCTACGTTGGCAAGGCGGCGGAGTTGGCACTTTGGCAGGCTAGGGGCTGGGCCGATACCCCCGCACCCCACCCGCCCCCCCCAGCATCTCCCGGCCGTGCAAGAAGAATGCTATGTAAGCAGTAAAATATTATTAGCTACGGAGTCTGTAGTATAAACTGGACGCATCGTGTTGGGGGGGGGGAGCGAAGAGGACACTCTGAAGAAATATCCGCAGCGTGATGTGTGTATGACTTGCCTGTAAAACGCGCAAATTAAAATGTCCTCCGTGAGCTGGAGCGAACGCGCATGACTTGGCAGGGTCCGCCCTCCCCAACGCAATTGGCGTCACTTGGTACAGTCGATGGTGCGCAATAACTAAATAATTAATAATAGAAACGGCACAAATGTGTTAATTAAACGACTTTAAAGTTTATGGATGGGAAAACGGAATAGCCTATTCCCACCGCGGGGCTTAGGGCGTGCCACCCGACAAATTGTTTTCTACGTGAAGGCCACTGTCCGAGAGGCACATCCCCCGCAAGCGCGAGCGTGCGGAGACTTTTATATATAAGAAGAAAAGATAGAGGTTTTTGGGTTAGAGTGCGTAAATATGATCCGCTAAACACCACCCGATACAGCCAATTACGAAGGTTTGTCACGTAAACAAAACATGCCAAATCGTTACTAGTGCAGCACATCGGTGTGTTGGAGAGTAAACCCACTACGATTTGTTTACGTTACAAACCTTTACTAAATTAATGATACATTTATATTTACGCGATCTCACACAAACAAAAATCTCTCTCATGAATTATTTAATGTTGCTTCCAACATTTACACGAATAATTTACACAAATTAGAATAATATTTACGCTAACCTAACAACTTTTTAAAGTGACTTTACTGAAAGAACCAAAGAGAAACTATTACATTGTATTGCTATTGTAAACAGACCTTGCCCCAGTGCTAAATGAATAAGTACTGTACCGTACAGTACACGGGGCTACAACCTTGACTGCACTCCGTGAACACGTATGCCTTTGGGTGCAACAATTTAATCGATTGATCAATAGCACATTTAAAACTGAGAAGCCATGCATCAAACAATATGTGTGAAGAATATACTGCAGCAGACTCTAGATTATCCACGCTAATGACGAGGAACAACGGCTGCGCTTAATTACAAAATCGCAGATAATCCCAAAATATACATTTTTCTGCCGATCTCACTAACAAAAACTAACATAGGTGTACTGAGTTCAACTGAGTCACAGACGTACTCTTAGAGGCAACATATTTATTAACACCAATACACGGGATAACTGCCCCTTAACAGAATAACAACCTATGGTGGTGACCACCAGGCTAACTACACTGATTACAATGTCAAGTGATACCTCGGTATACGACTGCTTTGGAATATGTCGAATTTGGTATATGTCGTGTTTTGACGAGAAAAAAATGTCTTGGGATACGACGTCTTGTTTGGGATATGACGGGCTTGCTAAAACTTGTATGGGTCGGGATGAGTCACCGCGTCCCCGCGTAGACCCCGTTCACGACTGAAACAAAGCGCCGCTCCTCAGTCTGCCTGTACAGTAGATCTCGTTCAGTGCACAACCCTTGCTATAACTCTCTGTGAATTTTCCAGTGTTTTTGTCATTTTAATTTATGTATGCATTTTAATAATAAGTAGTGTCTAATTTATTTTATACAACCCCATTAATGTATAATATGCCACATAAAATATAATTTTTTACACTCTGGAATGGATTATTTCCTTTCGCTTTATTTCTTATGGGAAAAATGTGTTTGGTATACAGTGATACCTCGGTTCACGAACGCTTCGGTTCACGAACAACTCGGTTCACGAACAGAAAATTTCATAAAAATATGCTCCGGTTCACGAACTCCGCTTCGGTTCACGAACAGGAGCCGTGGCCATTTTTATGCTAATTCCAGGCTGTCACATGGTCGTGACTTCCTGTAGGAAGATCGTGGGGAGAAGCAGAGACACAGAAAGAAGTACTGTGAGTACTATGAAGACACTTTCAGTGACTTTTTGATTTTTGGTGTGCTTTTTAGCACATACAGTACTGTACTGTACTACTGTACTGTACAATACTGTACTTACTGTATTGTACAGTTCACCCGTTTGAGTGCTTACTGTCTCCCACCCGCCTCCCACCTGCCTTCCTCCATGCCAGAAGTCATCTCAAGCAAGGTTAGTGTTCTCTCTTTATACATTACTATACTGTACAGTACTACAGTAATGTGTATTGTCATTTGTTTCATATTTTTGTGCTTCAAAAACCAAAAAAAAGGTCACAACGGATTAACCGGATTTACATTGAACCCTATGGGAAAATGTGCCTCGGTTCACGACCAATTCGGTTCACGACCAGAGTCAGTTCACAAATTAAGTTCGTGAACCGAGGTATCACTGTACGTCATTGTCGGTATAAGTCCTACCTTCTGGAACGAATTAACGACGTATACCGAGGAATCACTGTAACTTGCTACTATGGACCGGACCAAAGCTCGGGTCCAGGTCCACGTGTTGGAGACTCGGTAGAACGTAGACGAAGGTTTCTTCAGGATGAACAACAACGCCGGCCCCTCTGGGGGACCCGGCTGATATCCTCTGCGGCGTGGCTGGCTCCGCCCTTGGCCACGACCACCTTCCAGAATCCTCGAGCAGGATCTGGACCCCGACCACGTGACCACCCCTAGCCCCCACTTGGGGCCCCTGTGTAGACTTAACCAGTCACGTGTCCTCTCGGGTCAACCAGAGTGCTATGGACTTTAGAAACCCCTTTCCTATGGCCTGCACTCCCACACCCTGTCCTGTAGGGCTGGCACTGCACGCCAAGCGTGGTGCCATCCAGCGCTATCAACCAGCACTCACTGAGCCCCTCTAGGGCCGGTACTACACCCACATCATAGTTGTATCCGCATTGTCGTTACATCGCACGCCGTGCTTTTCTGGGGCCGGCACTGTACAGTGACATCCCGCGATGTCACTACATAGGTATAAATTATGTTAACGTTAAGACAATTTAGTTCCGTAAATTAAAACTCACAAAATAAATGATTGGATAAATCACTCAAATTTAAGCACAACTGACGATTTAGATTCATTTGTCTTTTGATTTAGAACAAATTACTAAACGATCGTCCCATCGATGATGGGCATGCTCAGGGATGATAACACTACTCCAGCAGCAGAAGACTCGGCCTACTGAGTGAATGATAGCAGAGACACAACCCATCAACATCAATAAACCTCTGCCCCACTGTTGTAACGGTATGGCAAATACTGTACTGTAGAGGTGATGGCGTGGATTTCGGATTAACCGGAGAAACATATGTGTTCGGTTGAATGACGCGTGTGACTTGTAATGAAGATTTCCAAGAAGAGTATAAATGTTTTAGATTATTAATTTCGACTTAAGAAAAAATCCATGAGTTATTAATTCATGTACAAATTTCAGGTGATGCAGTTAATCCGCAAATTGGATAAACCCGCATAGGGATGATTGAAAGTCTACCGTATAAGTTTAAATATATTTTAAGAAGTTATCCATTATGAATAGAATAGTATTTAGTCCCTCGGTTAACGTATTTTATTACATTCCAACGAAAACTACTGGTTAACCGAAATAACTATCAATCGAATATAGGAATTACATGGTATAAGTAAAACATCACTGAGTCTGCAAGAGAGTAGCTGTTTTTCTACTGCACAAAAACAGAAAACTATACACATATTATCGATTAATCAGTGGATCATCGATTATCCGGCGGCTACGGAGGAAAAGATGGCGCCAGATTTCAACATTTTTAGGTGTTGTGTCTATGTTTTTTTGTGTGTTTTACATGTGTTTACGTGTTTGAAGTTGGCATCAATAAACATACAAATTGACACAAATAAATATTCACACGATTACAGATCCTTTATTAATGGCAGACGAAAAACCCAGTGGAAATAAAGAAAAAAATCCTCCTTCCTTTCAACAGCGTACAAAAGCACGCGACGAGAAATCCGAATCAACGCCACACGCTGGGACACTAGGACATTAACGTGGGAGGAGCGCTCTTAAAAAGTAGTTCCGCGTCAACCGACGGGCCGAGCATCGCCGGGTCACCGCATCACTCCGCGTTACCGCTTCACCATAACCGCTGAGCCATCATGCAGTCTTGAGAAAATACTTTGCCTGTCGACTTCTCAGAAACCGCGTTACAGCAACGGTGGCGCACGTTCCACGTTATAACAGCACACATGTTCCGAGTCATAACGGTGCGCGTTCCGCGTTATAATGGTCAGCACGTTCAACTTCTAAGGGTCTCTGTGTAAGTCTATGGATCTCTGTGTGAGTCTGTGTATGTATTTATGTTGAACTTCGTTGGCACCATACTTAACCAACCGAGCTTATCGGAGGTGCAGGGGGTAGGGGGGAGGACAATAACTGAACACAGCAGGTGGTCGGTGTGTTTGTGTGTCATGTCTGTTCAGTTAGCGCGCTACGCTACACTTGAAAATAGCCACCCAAGTTTGACTCCTGCTCACTCCCAACACCAGTGACGATTATGTGAACCGTTTCCTGGGCCTCCCGTAGGTTGTCTTAGCCTTAAATGAGTATCTGGTGTGGTGTGTTAACATCGCCACTGGGGAGACAAAGGCGGCCGTGCGTGGTGTTGGCCACCCACCCCCTCGTGTGCCACAGTGCCGGCCTTCATTGGTGCTCACTAACATAATTTTCCCCAACAGTCTGTTACAGGATATACGAGGGATCGTTGTCTTTGTTTCACGCACACCTGTAATCCAGAGCTATGGAAATGGATCACGCGAATGTTCTAAAAGTTACCCTTTTTACATTCCCTCAAGAGGTCCGCCATATCCCCTGGCCTCGCCAGGATATTGCCGTGCAGCGTAAAGTGGACTCATCTCCAAGTGTCTCCATCTGGGACAGGCGTAGACTTGTCCGACTACTTACCGCCGCTCGTGGTGACCTGCTGCTGTACTCGCTGCGTGCAAATCTCGTGCGCAATACGGCCAGCCCAGTTTCGGGGTCTCCAGCCCAAGCACCTGGAGCTCGCTACCAGCTCACGTTCGGGATCCATCTCCTAAGACTGAGCCAGTTCTGCAATAGACGCATCACGGTGTTGTTTTAGAGAGCCTACTTCAATGTGTGATCAATGAGCATTCGTGATAGGCTCGACTCATAAAAGTACGCAACAACAAATGTTTTTACTTTGACCCCATCACAACAATTGGGATGGTTCTCTCTCGGCACTCCGGATTCCTCTCCGAATGTATACATCCATGAATCAGATTAAGGCATCCTAATATGTAGCGGACTGCAGTGCTTCGGTAATTGTTGGAGCTGGCTTGGGGAGGGGGGCGAGCATGGACAAGATGTATTGAGTTGGGGAGCCATGCCAAGACGATTGAGAAGCACGAGGACCTACCGTGGGACAAATTACAGTGGTCCCTCAGTTTATAATGCCATCGATTGATAATGTTTCGATTACCGATCAGCCTCCCTCATAGGGTCAAAATAGTTTTTTATTCATGACTCATTTTCGATTAACGATACGTGTTTTACAATGTTACGTGGACCGTCCCAATTCCAATTTCGGCAAATCGGAATGCTCCATAAGTGCCACGGTAGCTAGGAGATGTTAACTACTTCGTCAGGTATACAGGAGGTCGTGGGTTCGATCCCGACCATGACAACTGCTGTATATTTGGAGTTTGCATGTTCTCCCTGTGGTCACGTGTATTTTTCTCCGGGACCTCCGGTTTTTTTCCCTCCACATTGAGAATCAACGTTGCACGTTTGGCGTATTTGGCCGCTGCTTTATATTTCCACGTGATGACGATAAGCTGCCAGTTTGTTGAGCTATCATTTGTGATCACCTGGTCACTTCTGAAAAAGAGCTACAAAGCAGCTCCGTGGGGCCTTACCTCGTACAATAAAAAATGGCTTTAACAAAAAAATGTAAGTGGACTCGGCAGATCTCAGCCAATCAGCGACCGCCCTTATATGACGGTTTTGAAAACAACTGGCTAGTTCGCTTTTCAATGTTTGATGGTGCGTTGCTTATGTAAACGGCTCTCTTGAATACTTTTTGGACTTAAAAGTTAAATAAGAGCCAAGTTGATTGACAGATGCTGTGAGGGCGGAACTAAATGTGTGTATAGGTGACCCCCGACTTGCGATGGCTCGACTTGCGACCCTCCACTTTCATGACCTTTCTTATCGGAACAACCAAAACTCGTATCTATGACCGCCTAATGACTACTCACCACGACAAAGGGACTCCTGGAGAAGACCAGCTGTTACTGCAGGGCAGACGGCTCAGTCACCGAGACGACAGCTGCGTTGAGTTGTTCAGACCACTGTTGGACTTGACTGCCAAGTCCCTAGACTGTCGCTGCATGGAGTCACTCAGAGCGCTGTTGGAAGCGCAAAAGCAAATCCCGAGACTGCCGCTGCATATATCCATTAAGAGCGCTGTTGTGAGTGTAAAGCAAGGCCGAGGTTGATTCTGCGTTGATTTTTGGGAGTACGGCTCTACCGTTGAGTCCTGGGGGGGTCCCTGACGCTGTAGTCGACCTCGACGGTGAATTTGCGTACCCTGGGCTTCTGGTGCGTTGCCTCGTCACCCAGGAGTGGAGGTGTAAGTCAGGGTTGGTACGAACGGTCCTCGCGGTGGTCTCTATCTGTGTAAGTCGCTGCGGTGTTCTGTCATTGCCGACACGCGCGGTCACTGTGTTAAGTCGGTGAACTGCAGGGTTCTGCAGACGCGTGCTATTACTGTCGCTGAGAGTTTGAATAGTTGGTTGTACTTGGTTGTCAAGAAATTGTTATCCACCACAGTTGGTTCACATCCTTGTGCGTAACGAACTAAGGCATAGTTACTGCATTCCAAATCTTGTTAAGATTCTCAGTATTCCAGATCGAATTATTGTCCTTATTTCTGTTGCCGTCAAAGCGCGTTTAAAAATCTGTGTTGGTGTCCGAATAAAAATATTGAGAGAATAGCACGGGAGAGAAAATGGATCCGAACTCTTCTCTCTCCCATGTTTGAAATGAGCAACCCTCATAGCTATCAGCTGGAATTGGAATATTTCCCCCTTCACTGCCGATGCCGGATGGAAAAGTTGGTGAGGATTCAGGAATTTCTCAGTTGGTGTAAGCGGCTATGTCTCTCTGCATTGTCTAACCGATTCATATTCGCCCAGACACCCTGGCTGGCAAGGAGAGAGGTGGCTGAGAAAAAGAGCCGGGCCTATTTTTCCTCTGGTGAGAACATCTCGCATCCGAAAATTAACAGTTATTACCACAGCTTTGGGAATATTTGCAGATTTTTGTTGAGCAGTTTTCTGAGATGTTGCCCAAAAGCTGTATTTAAACTGGAGGGGAGGGGGTGCATGCGCGTGCATGTGAATGTGTTCCTGATCTGTCTTCCCAGACGCGCCGATGAAAAAACGATCGATTCACTCGGAGTACAGGATATAGCCGCTGAACACCGAGTCTCTATGTACGTCGAACAGAAAATGAATGTATGGAGCCTCCAACTCTAGCCACACCTCGTCCCCGGCCTTGAGACTCAGCACGACGCTGCCGCTTATTGCGTCGTATTTATCACCGCACACCTTAGAGATGATGTTCCCGTTTGTCATGATCATCACCACGAGGGACTGTTCATGGGAATGCATGTTAAGCGTGAAATAGTAGACGCCTGGGTGAGCGCAGGTGAACTTCCCCGTGCCGGGGTTGTAGTGGCCCTGCGGGTTGGTGATGATGACGTTGAACGTCACGGGGGAGCCGGCCGCCGGCTTGTAAGCGCCGACCTTCGCAGAGAAGGCTGACCTGGGCCCCACACCGCTCTCTCCCCGCTTGCCTTTCTCGCCTCTTTCGCCCTGCTCACCTGGGACTCCCGGAGTCCCCGTGAGCCCCGGTTGGCCAAGAGGGCCCAGCTTTCCCGGCAGACCTAGGCGGACAACACGGTCTGAATGCATGGCATTTGTGGTGTGTGTGTTACCCCACGGTAGTGTAGCAGTTAGCGCTATGAACCCAGCAGAGACCCGAGTTCGATTCCCGCTCATGGTCAACACAAGTGACGATTATCTGAACTGGTATTGGGCTTCCTACCCTAGGTCGAATCAGCATCAAATGATTACCTGGTGTGATGTATTAACAACGCCACTTGGGAGACAAAGGCGTGCCAGTTTTCATAGGTGCTCACCAACAGCACTTTCCACAACAGTCTGTTAAGGCTATACGGGGGATCTTTGTTTTTATGTGTTTATCCCAACTCTCAAACAGAGAGATGTGGCAATTCTGCATCTATGTTGATGACGGTGAGCCAAACCTGCACAATTGAGTCGTGTCCTGTGACAAACGTCTTTGTTTTATAACAGGAAGTCCTTGCCCAACGTGTCTGTATAAAACGCGTGTTTCCGCTCTACACGGTGTACTGAATGAGTTCTCTTTTCCAGAACAAAAGGTCATGTGTGGTGCCACGATCACGGAGCAATGCCGCAAACGCCGCACTCCTCTCCCGGCCCCCACACTAAACACCCACCCACACACAGTGCACCCACGTAGTGTCCTGACAGGGGGTTCCCTGGCACATCGGGTTTTAATTCGAAGGGCCCCTAGAGGGAGAATCCCACGGTTTCCCGGTGCCAGGAGATTGGCCATCGCAGGACAGGTTACATTGCGGTGCCCCTAAATTAGCATAAGATTGGATGGGCGCAAAAGGTTCACTGGGCCAACCGCAATGAGTTACTCACGACACTGGGAGAGGCGGAGGGTGGAATATTAGGCAGAAGGGCAGACCAGTGGGTTAGAATGAATGAGCGCGGGGGGACAATGGGTGAGGGGCCGCAGCAGCAACAGCAGCAGACCCCGTGACCCTCCATGTAGACGGCGCAGGTGAGCACGCGATTAGCTGCGCAGTACAATGCCACCCTGGGCCTTTGAAGTGAGGGGATTAGGCCGCCACGGTAGAGACGGTGGAGAGGGACGATGATGGGAAGCATGGGTAAGCGCCCGATTGGCTGCGTGGTATGACGTCACCCTGGGCCTTTGTCTTCAACCTCCGGGCGATCCAGACCCTTCCCTGCTGTCCTGCCTCCTTGAGCTACTCGCAGCATCCGTGTGATGCCCGCGAGTGCTGCTACGAGGCAGTGATAAGCGAGGGTTTCGCTCGTCCTTCTCCCTCCGACTCTCACAGCGTCCGTGTGACGCCGTGAGTACAGCGACGAGGTACGTGGTAGAACGTTTGGGTAACTGGGTTCATAGGCAGAGTTAGGCTAGGCTCTCCTCGCGAAATATTCCTCCTCCGGGTAATGCGTATTGACGCCATTAATAAACTTTAGCACAGAGGATCCGTGTGGTGTGATTTCTGTGTGGGTGGGGAGAACATAGGTGTGGTGCGGTATGTGCGGGCGTGTGAAGCACGCGTATATTATCATCAACCCGGCCGTTGTTTTGCCCGCGTGCGTGTTTGCACAGCGGATTAATGCCGACGCACAGGAAGGGGGGAGGGGCGCGTGCATATTCACGTGCGTGCGCGCAGCTACCTCCACATTAGTGGTGGTGTACGTGGGGAGTGTGTGGGATAACTCCAGGCGGTGGGGAGCCAGCCACTAGCCATGTCCCGCAGAGAAGACGCTGGTGCGGGGAGGCCGATCACACGATCGGCGGCAGCCCGGCGAGAAGGGGCGAAGGAGGAGGAGAGGGGCGTAAGCCCCCACAGATGTTACACCTATACACGGTATATCTCGTGAGCTCTGTTTTCTACAACATGGAGATACATAGAGACCCATCGACTAAACTATTTGTTAAATTCCCAGGTGTAAGGTCCACCGAGCTGCTGTTTTGCTATTTTTTTCAGCAGCGAACTGCCTGTCGCCAGTGACAGCTAAATGTGGTGGCTGATATCATCATGTGGACATTTATAGCAGTCAAATACTGTAAAGTCTAAACGCATGTTTCTAAAGGTGGAAGGAAAAACCAAGGGAACCTGATGAAAAATCCACAAAACCACGGGGAGAACATGCAAACGCCGAATATACATCGGGCATCGTCAGGGTTGGGTTCAAACCCACGACCTCCTGTGGATCAGACGAGGAATTTAACATCTCCTAATCCTGATGCCAGCTGCTTATTTGGAGTTTGCATGCGTCTCTCCCCGTGGTTGCGTGGATTTTTCACCGGGTCCTTCGTTATTTTTCCTTCCACATTTAGAAATGTACTTGGCTGAATAAATGTCCACGTGATGATGATACCACTTCGTCGAGCTATCATTACGTGTGGCCAGGTCGCTTATGAACAAAAGTCACATAGCTCAGTGAGCCTTACTTTGTAATAAAATAAATATAAAGAATCAGCTGCTCGGAGCACACGAGTCAGTGTCACAGTCCCACCTGGGTCCCCAGTCAAGCCTCGAACTCCCAGGTCTCCCTTGGCTCCAGGTGCTCCGGTCGCGCCTGCGAGAAGAACAAAGCATGGCTCGTCCGCTCCTCAAGCCACTCTCAATTCACACCACTCGCCTTCACGCACTCTCCCGTCTCTCCCCTCTCATCTCACTCACCTCCACGCACTCTCCTGCCTCTCCCCTCTCATCTCACTCCACTCGCCTCCACGCACTCTCCTACCTCTCCCCTCTCATCTCACTCTACTCCCCTCCACGCACTCTCCTGCCTCTCCCCTTTCATCTCACTCTACTCCCCTCCACACACTCTCCCGTCTCTCCCCTCTCATCTCACTCTACTCCCCACCACTCACTCTCCTGCCTCTCCCCTCTCATTTCACTCGACTTCACACGAGACACTCTCCTACGAGAATGAGCTAGTGAACGATCAAGGGCATGACATGGCAAGTGAACGTTTGAGTGAGTGAATGAGTGAGTGAACGACTGAGTGAATGAGTGAGTGAGTGAGTGAACGATTAAGTGAGTGAATAAGTGAGTGAGTGATTGAGTGAACGAGTGAGTGAGTTAATAAGTGAGTGATTGAGTGAACGAGTGAGCGAGTGAATGAGTGAGTTAGTGAGTGCACGATTGAGTGAGTGAATGAGTGAGTGAACTAGGGAGTGAATGAGTGAGTGAGTGAACGATTGAGTGAGTGAATGAGTGAGTGAATGAATGAGTGAACGATTGAGTTAGTGAACGAGTGAACAATGAGTGAGTGAGTGAAAGATTGAGTGAGTTAATGATTGAGTGATCGAGAGAGCGAGCGAGTGATCGCGTCACTCCCCACGAGCGCACCGTGGGGGGGTCTCTGGGACCTGACTCCTCACCGTCTCTGCCGTCCCTCCCGGGGGCCCCAGGGGTCCCGTGCTGCCCCGGGGCTCCGGGCTGCCCGGGGATCCCGTTGATGCCCGCGCAGACGGTCTTCTCCTGCTGGGCTCCCACCATCACCACCCCCAGCAGCAGCAGCGGCAGCAGGGCCGAGATGGACATCTAGGGACAGCAGTGGCGAGATGGTAACTAGCTCGCCTTGTAAACAGGATGGATTTGAAAACGAACTATTATTCTATTTTACCAAGTAAGGTATGAATGAGCTGCTTTTAAGTCGCTCTTTTTTCAAAAGCGGCCTGCCCATCACAAATGATAGTTCAATGAAGTAGGCTTATCATTGTCACGTGGAAATTTATATCAAAGCTATAAACACGTGGTGCTGTTGATTTTAAATGTGAATGAGAAAAACCGGAGGACTCGGAGAAAAATACACGCGACCACAGAGAGACACGAAATATACAGCAGGCATCAAGGTCTGGATCGAACCCACGACCTACTATATACCAAGCGAGGTAATTAACATCTCCACAGGGAGAGAAAGAGAGAGATGCAAACTACAAATACACAGCAACAGGCATCATCGAGGTCTCGATCGAACCCACGACTTCCTGTATACCAGGCGAGGTCGTTAACATCTTCACAGGGAGAGACAGAGAGAGATGCAAACTCCAAAGAAGGAGCAGCAGCTGCAGGCATCGTCAGGGGTCCGGTGATCGAACTTGACGAGGAAGAATCAGAGACAAGTGGGGAGACAGCAGCCAGAAAATGATTAGCATTTTAATGAGGGAAATAAGTATTTGAGCCCTCTGCAAAACATGACTTAGTATTTGGTGGCAAAACCCTTGTTGGCAATCACAGAGGTCAGACGTTTCTTGTAGTTGGCCACCTAGTTTGCACACATCTCAGGATGGATTTTGTCCCACTCCTCTTTGCAGATCTTCTCCAAGTCATTAAGGTTTCAAGGCTGACGTTTGGCAACTCGATCCTTCAGCTTCCTCCACAGATTTTCTATGTGATTAAGGTCTGGAGACTGGCTAGGCCACTCCAGGACCTTAATGTGCTTCTTCTTGAGCCACTCCTTTGTTGCCTTGGCCGTGTGTTTTGGGTCATTCTCACGCTGGAATACCCATCAACGACCCATTTTCAATGCCCTGGCGGAGGGAAGGAGGTTCTTACCCAAGATTTGACGGTACATGGCCCCGTCCATCGTCCCTTTGATGCGGTGAAGTTGTCCTGTCCCCTTAGCAGAAAAACACCCTCAAAGCATAATGTTTCCACCTCCATGTTTGACGGTGGGAATGGTGTTCTTGGGGTCATAGGCAGTATTCCTCCTCCTCCAAACACGGCGAGTTGAGTTGATGCCAAAGCGCTACATTTTGGTCTCATCTGACCACAACACTTTCACCCAGTTGTCCTCTGAATCATTCAGATGTTCATTGGCAAACTTCAGATGGGCATGTATATGTGCTTTCTTGAACAGGGGGACCTTGCGGGCGCTGCAGAATTTTAGTCCTTCACGGCGTAGTGTGTTACCAACTGTTTTCTTGGTGACTATGGTCTCAGCTGCCTTGAGATCATTGACAAAATCCTCCCGTGTAGTTCTGGGAAGATTTCTCACCGTTCTCATGATCATTGCAACTCCACGAGGTGAGATCTTGAATGGAGCCCCAGGCCGAAGGAGATTGACAGTTATTTTGTGTTTCTTTCATTTGCGAATAATCGCACCAACTGTTGTCACCTTCCCACCAAGCTGCTTGGCGATGGTCTTGTAGCCCATTCCTGCCTTGTGTAGGTCTACAATCTTGTCCCTGACATCCTTGGAGAGCTCTTTGGTCTTGGCCATGGTGGAGAGTTTGGAATCTGTTGATCGATTGCTTCTGTGAACAGGTGTCATTTATATAGGTAACAAGCTGAGATTAGGATCACTCCCTTTAAGAGTGTGCTCCTAATCTCAGCTCGTTACCTGTATAAAAGACACCTGGGAGCCAGAAAACGTTCTGATTGAGTGGGGGTCAAATACTTATTTCCCTCATTAAAATACAAATCAATTTATAACATTTTTGACATGCATTTTTTCTGGATTTTTGTTGTTGTTATTCTGTCTCTCACGGTTCAAATAAACCTAATATTAAAATTATATACTGATAATTTCTTTGTCAGTGGGCAAACGTACAAAATCAGCAGGGGATCAAATACTTTTTTCCCTCACTGTAGAAGGGCAAAGTATAGGAAAGGTAAACAAATCACGTAAAATAATATATACAAATACATTTTAACTAGGTGTTTACTTGCCAGGTAAAACTCCGACTGAGCTATTAACTTATTATAAGAGACCTCTCCATCACAAATAATGGCAGCTTGACAAAGTGGCCTATCATCATCGTGAACATCACGTGGACATTTATAGCAGCAGCCAAACACAGAGACACATAGAGATGGACAGAGACGCTTGGAGACTCATAGTGATACATGTGTGGGTCTATGTGTTTATGGGTGTGTTAATGAGTCTGTGTGAGTCTATGGGTTTCTGTGTGATCTATGGGTCCTTGTGTGAGTCTATGGATCTCTGTACGTCTGTGTGTCTCTGTGTTAGTCTACAGGTCTCTTTGTGAATCTACGCGACTCCGTGTGAGTTTATGGATTTCTGTGTGTCTATGGGTCTCTGTGTGATGAGTCTATGGGTCGATGTCTCATGAGTCTATGGGTTTCTGTGTGAGTCTGTGGGTCTACGTGTGAGTCTACAGGTCTCTGTGTGTGTTTACGGGTCTCTTTGTGAGTCTATGGGTCTTTTTGCGAGTCTATGGTTCTCTGTGTGAGTCTATGGGTCCCTCTGTGAGTCTGTGGGTCTATGTGTGAGTGAACTCGTCTCTATGCGAGTCTATGGATCTCTGTGTGAGTCTTTATACGTACGGTACGTTGAATTTTCTTTCACACCACCGTACGTAGCAGCTGAGCGTCCTTCTAATCGGAGGTTGTCGTTGCTCAGCGTTGCTCACCGAGTCACTAAATTTCTCTCCCCCGTCTCCCCTTTTAAACATTACTCGGGTCACGTGCTCCTCCATTTCCCACTTGGTCCAGACCTCCCACGTTTTGACGTCACATTCAACAAGCGCTCACACGCAAGAAAGACAAAGATCCCCGTATAGCCTGTAACAGACTGCCGGGGGCAAGTGGCTGTCCCTAGGGCCTACTCATTCACCCAGCCACCCACTCACTCATTAATTCACCCACTGACCCACCCAATAACTCACTCATCCACCCACCAGAAACTTGTTATCCAATAGTCAACAGTAGTAGCCACCCACCCATTCACCCACTCATCCAGCCACTCACTCACCTAGTCACTCACCCACTCGCCCACTCACTCACTCACCCACTCACTTATCCGCCAGGGCCGTATATTAGGTAGGCCATAGTACGTACTGTGCCGAGGGGCCTATTAAAACGAAAAGGAGGCTCCAAAACAAAAAATGTTGACGCGATATTTTTATGTTTGTAACAAAAAAAGTAACCAAGATATCTTCTTGAATAAATATATTTATAGAGCATAGATAGGCACAGTGCATATACAAAGAGGCAGAGTCATGTCAATGTCAATCGTTTTTTTCGTAAAGCGAGGCAAAGTACTTACGCGTGAAACAAGCGAAGTGACAATGGCGGTACCAACATGGGCAGCAGTACCAAGTATAGACAGTTATCACTAAAGGCCTACGAAACAGAAGTGGCCTAGGGTCCTACATGGGCCTCAGTGCCGCGTGTGGTGACCCTCCCACCCCAGGAGCTAATGACCCTAGGGGGTGGGAGGGGTGGAAGGGGTTCCATCTGAACGCGGTGAGAGCACTGCCAATTGGAGTGATTCCATTGAGACAGAATCCGAATCTGCATGTATTTTTGCGGGACGAATTCCATGAGCAAAGAAGCTCCTTTTCTCACAGATGTTCAGTCGGGGGCATGGGGTTAGAACCTTACGAAGGCAGGGCACTCCAGCATAGGCAAGCTGACATTTTGTGAGAGCTGGGTGTGTGTGTGCTTGCATATGTAGTAATGTACTGCATATTGAGAATGCAGGTATGTGTGTGTGTGCGCTATGAGATCGCGCAGGGAATTGTGTGTGGGTCTGCAGCAAGCGAGGCACTTGCTCGAAAAGTCTGTTAAGGCTATACGGGGGACCTTTGTGTGTGTATCTGTGCAGAAAGGCACAGGCGGTCATAGAAACTTCCCAAGAGGAGGGAGCAGGGCTGGGAGGGTGGAGGTGGAGGGGGATGAAGGTGGGGGTGGGAGGGTGAGAGCCAGAAATGTTAAGCTTTTTAAATAGGGCCCTACATTCATGAAACAACAAAATCAATCGAATAATATTCTCTGGGAAATATCAATAACTTGGGGGGGGGGTGGGTCTCATCAAGGCGGGTGGGTTTGGGGGGGGAGGGGGGTGACCACCCGCCTCGGCCCCACTCTTGGCTGGACGCTGCATCAGCGGAGCTCGCTTGTATGAGGCATCATCATTCCACGGGCGTGTTTCTCACAATCACAATTCTATTGAGGCTGGAGGAGGAATCCCATGAGTTATTGAGCTCTTTTTTTCCCCACAGATGTCCAGTAGGGGCGGGTCGGCAAGTGACAACAACAAACAATACTCTTAATGGCTGGAAATTCCACGTTGCTATGACGGGGCTCTCGGTGTTGAGAACGACGGCCCCTGTAACATCTTCTATGTATCTGTGTCCTCGGCTCGCAGGTGACTTGCAGTAGTCACAGCCATATCTAGATGGTATACTGAATGTGGTGTGCCGTGTGAAAACATATTTTCCGACTCGTTGGAAGGCTGGAGTAGGCGGCACGTGATCAGCAGCCACATCCATAGCGATGTGGTATACTGGATTGCGGGTTCCGGGCTGGAAGGCATTTTCCGGGTTGTTAGTAAACTTCAATTGGTGACACGTGGACTGGCAGTAACACGTGGATATCGAGAGGAGGTATACTGGATGTGCTGTGCCGGGTGTGGCTGAAATAAAATCTCGCGTACGATTGTCAAACATTGTTTGGCTCCCTTGTCTACAATCACGTAGTGAGATGTGGCAAATCTGTGTCACAGGAGGGGTTAGTTGGGGTTGTACTGTGGGGCGTGGGGTTGGGGGGCACTGGGGGAGGGAGGGGGGAGGGAGGGATGACGGGTATCTTTTTAGGGGTTGGAACAGTGATCGTGCACATTGTCGCGCCTTGTGTAGACAATAAAACAAACCAAGACTGTTCTCGTTTTCTATGTTCAAATAAAAGTTCTGGATGCTTGAAGCCAAGCATTGCCTTGTCGCTGCTGCTGCTGCTGGCTGCTGCCATGATGATGCTGATGACGATCGCCGCTTGTGCAGAGGTCCTCGGCTCGCCTGCTTCACAGAGAACCTTAAAGAGCCCGTGACGTGAATCGAATAGGAAGAGTGGCAAGCGGGTGGGTGGGTGGATGAGTGGGTGGGTGGGTGAGTCGGTGAATCGGTGGGTGTGTGAGTGGGTGAAGAGGTGGGTGTGGAGTGGGTGAATCGGTGGGTGATGGAGTGGGTGAAAAGGTGGGTGGGTATGTTGAGTAGGTGGGTGGGTGTGGAGTGGGTGAATAGGTGGGTGGGTGGGTGGGTGGATGGGTTGGGTGGATGAGTGGTTGGATGAATGGTGGATAAGTGGATGGGTAAGTGGGTGGGTGACTTGCGTGGGTGAGGGAGTGGAATGGGTGGCTAAGGTGGGTGTGTGGCTCGGTGAGTGGGTGAATGGTGTGGGCGAGTAGATGAATGAGTGAGCGGCTGGGTGGGTGATGGGGTGGTTATACTGCGGGTGAATATTAACCATCAAACACTGCGCGCCGTCTGCGTCACAGGGCATAACGGTCCCTTGCCAAATATACCCACAAATCACTTAATTGGATAAAACAATTTTGGTGGACATATCCTCCATGCTGGCAGACTATACCCGTCTGTGAAACACGGAGCCCTCCTTCGTGGATAGCCTTGCAGAATACCAAATGTATCTTGACTTCATGGTCATTATTATTATTGTTTTGGAGCTCATCTCTCCCGAGCCCCACGCTTTGTGAGATGCGCCTGGCGGCTCGTTGTGCGACTCTGCTCGGAGGTCGTACACGCGGATCAGTGGGGCGACTCCTCGTGGCCACTCGGCGACAATGAGCCAGCCACGCTCAGAATCCCTGGGTCGCAATAAGGTTCCCCACCGCAAGAAGCCAGGTTGCATGCACACTATGTTTGGTGGACTCTTTTGCACCGCACGTATTCAACCGCACTCATCGGAGGTGCTTGAGTGTAACGAGTCGATCTCAGACAGGTCGCCAATGACTCACGCAGAGGACCCAAAGGACGCACAGACTTCCAAGAACTCACACAAAGGCCCAACAACCTACATAGAGACCCAATGAATAACAGAGACCCAATGACTCACATACAGATCATAGACTCACATAGAGACCACAGACTCACATAGAGACCCAAAGACGCACAGACTCAAAGACTCACACAAAGGCCCAATAACCTACATAGAGACCCAATGACTCACAGAGACCCAATGACTCACAGAGACCCAATGACTCACAGAGACCCAATGACTCACATCAAAGTTCAAAGTTAATTTATTAGGTATAGCCCTGTGAGCCACTCGGCTCTTGAAAAAACAAAAAACATGAACAAGAAAACATCTTAAAGTGACTATGTGCCAACAGAAAAACCAAGAAAAGACAGCAAAATATTGCAGAAAAATCACCGTACACCAACCCTGTGCAAATATCCCAGTGGGATGCAAGTCAAACAACAACAACCACAAGACAACTTAGATTAAGGCCATCAGTCTAACTCTATACTACAACAAACAAACATGGCCAAACCAAAAAACTTTTCGAAAATCACCAAAATAAAGCCATAAAAGCAATGAAACAGTGGTCATAGGAACTGTGACCGAATTTTCACAAAAAACGACGTAAACAACATGTACCACCAAAACCCTGTAGCCATAGCTGGCTGCATGAGTCACTCCACAACAGTAGGAGCATCAGTCGGAGTA